TATTTGGATTCACTTCTGTCTAATTTTGCACAAACGTATTTATCCCCAGTTTTCAAATCCTTCTATGTTCCGAGCATTCTTTAAGTTGACAGGAACTCTTCATTCCGTTCCCTCCTGTTTGCTGGTTTGGAAGTTACACATCATGTTTCTCTTTTATTGTCAATTCTAGAACTTTTGGCGTGACTATCTTAAAACGTTTGCTCAGTCTCCTTAACCTTTGATCAAGACCACGCTTTTTGAATGTTTTCACTCTGGGAGTTCCCGTTTGCCTCACAGCTGTGTGCTCAGCTGGTGCTTCTACCTAGCCAATGCTGTGTTCTTCCCAACACTTTTAGATCTCTTCTTCCCCCCCCTCCCCGAGTCTTGCGACTTCCAGCAGTTGTCCTGCCTCTCGTCCCTGAGGAACTGGACTGCCAGGGTGCAGTGCTGTGCTCAGCCGTCCAGTGCGGTTTTGATTGACTGGTTACTTTGTGTTGGTTAGTTGGTTGATTTCTTTGGGGGTTTTGTGACCTTTGTTGTTTATGTCTTGACCTGCCTCTTTTCATTTGATAGTTACAGGTACGCATGGATTTTCTTCTTTGTCCTGATAGCATTTATTGGCTTTTTGGATCTGAAAGTAGGTACCTTTCTTCTGATCTAGAAAATTCTCAGCCATTAATTCAGGTATTACATCTAGCTCAATTTATGTGACATTTTCTTGTGGGATGATTTTTTTTTGTTTTGTTTTGAGACATAGTCTCTTATAGCAAAGTTTAATCTTGAGCTCTCTATATAGGTAAGGATGACCTTGAATTCTGATCCTTCTGTACCTACCCAAGTGCTGGGATTGTAGGCCTATGCCTACGGGTATTTGAGAGCCTGGAACTTATGCCTTGGGCTAGACAGTCTGTCTAGGAAGCCTGGAGGAACCTCCCATGTCCACCTCTCCAGCACTGGGTTCACAGACTCCAGGGCTCCCAGTTTTTACGCTCAGTCCAACCCTTCCCTTGTCCTTCACTCTTAACTACACTCTACTACATAGTGTGTAGTTCATTTTTTTTCAGTCCTTAGGAGAGAGTCTTAGCCAGGCATGGTGGTGCACAGGAAGGCAGAGGCAGGTGTATCTGTAAGTTTGAGGCCAGCCTGGTCTACCAGGAGAGCTTCAGGACAGCCATGGCTGTTACACAGAGGAAAAAATCCTGTCCTGTAAAACCAAAGAGAGAAGGGGGTGGGTCTTGTGGTATAGCCCAGGCTGGCCTCAAAGTCACTGCCTCAGCCTCCTGAGTGCCAGGGTTACAGTGGTGTGCTCAGCTCCTGTGGCTCTCTTTTTTATCTTAAGTACTGACCCCACACCCTGAGTCAACTTGTCTTCTTAGCATGTGCAGTCTTTGTAGTTTGGGGTCTGTAGTTTCTCTGCTCTCTCTCTCTCTCTCACTCATAACAGTGTATTTCCCTTGTGCTTATTGGTTTTTAAAATGATGAGCCTAGGTTCTGTGCATGCTAATTAGTTGAAATTCTCTGTAGTTGGATTTGAAGTACACTCTTCCAGATGGGAATTGCTTTTCAAACTCTCGGACACCGTGGGGCACAATGGGCTCCAGTCCATCTGAACTCACTTGGAGTAACCGCTAAATCCACGAAACTGACAGAATCTGTTTTCCATCCCTGCTTCCCTTTTCTCCTCCATCAGTCTGGATTCTCTCCCCAGACCTGCGGTAGGCATTTGTTCCAGGGAAAGCCTGGCCTCCTCATTCACCTGTTGCTTACATTTCAAGTTATTTTTAAAATCACTCATCTGTGCATAGAAGTTGGGATGGGTGGGTGCATGCTTGTCTCTCTGGGCCACTAACAGTTCCCTTGTCTTGTTTTACATGTTGTTTTTGTAAAGTATGAAGACGTGTGTGCATGAGGAAGGTGCCCATCCAGAGACGGCTCTGGTTCTCAGATTCCACCAGGGTTCCCGGGATCAAAATTGGGCTGTCAGGTTTGCACAGCACGTGGGTTTTGCCAGCCCTCCCCTTATTTTCTAGTGAACTCGGGGTGCTGCACTGCCTCTGACACCTTCTGTAGCATAGTCAGAGAAGCTTCTCCCTGGCCACCTGGTCAGGAGTGCAAGCCTCTCCCTTGGCCCTGTCTTTCTTCTTGTGGTTACTTTTGGAGAAAAGTGTTGCATTGCCTCAGGTTCCCTCATTCCGGGACCCTTACATTAATTCTGTCTGCTCTTCACATTCGCCAAGAGCTCAGTCTTCAGATCAATACCTCGGGAAGGCGGCTCTTCCCGATGACAGCCGGTCGCTTCTATAGAGAACCTGTGGGTACCGGGGAACCTACGCCATTTAAATAGGACAGAGCAAAGAACAAACGGTAGGGAAAAGTGGTCGTCAGCCTAGGCCTGCACCTCGGCTTCTTAGCTCCAGATCGTGATCGTTTGGGGACCTGAACTGCTTTGAGATAGCACTCTCTTTATGCCCCCACGAAATTGACAAGAGAACGGATTCCAGGTTTGAGATTCAGAGCACATGGCTTTGTTGGGCCCGTGGTTTGAACTCCTAGGGGCTGGAAAAAATCAGGTGGCTTCCATGTATGCCAATCTGTGACGGCTGTAGAGAGCATGACTAATAAACTCAGCTGACACTGAGGAACTGCAGGCATCTCCAGTGGTGTTTAGGTTGGGTTTTGGTCTTGAGGCGGAGTTAGAAATGCCCCTTCCAGCACGTTCAGGATGGCTGGTTTCTCTTAAGCGTTTGGTGTCCTGTAATGGCAACCTGCAGCGGGAGGCCTTGGACACCGGCTCAGTGCAGCCGGCCTTTACCGTCTCGAGTCGCACTGCACCAAGTGAGCAGTAGTTGGAGGAGCTTGTCCCTCCCTGAAGTGGCTGGTGTGTAATTTATGGATTGTTAACTGGTGCTGAAATCTCAGAGAAAGTTCATGTCATTAAGTAGGATCCAGCCATATTCCAGTCCTCACGCCCTGAAGGTGCGCCAGTAGGCCTGTCTTCAGCCAGGAAGTTCTGCCTGTGCTCGTCCGGACTCTCTGTCTGCACAGTACCCATACTGTGCTAGTACTGAGCTAGGGGATGTTCCAAGCTGGGCGTGGAATACTGTCGTAGACAGACTCTGGGTAGACCCCTCCGTAACACAGAATCCACGATCCTCTCCCCATGTCTACGTGGGTTCTCCAGAAGAGCATATCTACTTTAAGCAGTAAGTTCTCAGGCTTGAAGTCTGTGTTTCTTGGCTCCCTTTCCGACATTTCTCTATCCACCTTCAATCTTTTCATTGAAAGAGGGGAGAGAGGGAAAGGGGGAGGCAAGGAAGGGAGGGAGGGAGAAAAACACAGTGAACACCTCCCCTTAACTAGTAAGTTGGTGGGCCCTTGTCCTGCTTCCTGCCCTCCGACTGCCACGTGTGTGCCCTCACACACAAACGTCATTTGCACACACAATGAAAATCTTAAAATAAGAATTCATAATGGAATTGATTTGTTCAAAGCCAACCATAGCCCAGTTCACTCATCCAAATGTATTTGGGTTCCCCAAGAAACTGTTTCATACTTTAATAGAAGTTTGGTTTTTTATTTCATAGTATCTATGATCAAAAAAAAAATGTCAGGGAAAGCATGTATGAGGCATAGCTTTTTATCTGTTTTTGGTAACTCTAGAGAGCTAGCTATACAATTAACTGTGTTTGTCTGTATGTACTCCTCCCCAGTGATCTCTGCCAGCCGTGGTTATGAACCCAGTCCACAGCCAGGAAAGGAAAGCCACAGGGTAAGGGTGAGGAGGGCAGCTCTAAAGCTCAGGGCTGTGACCTGAAGTAAGCCTGTGATGGTGTCCATCCTAGCACTTGCCTTGTCTCTGTGCTGGATCCCTTGTCCTTCTGAAAGAAGGAGAGGGAAACTCTCCGAGATACGTACACAGAGACAAAGACAGTAAGCAACCCCAGAGAACCTGAGCCAGCCTGGTACACCATCGCCCTTTTTGCCAGAATGCTCCCTGGCCCCCCAGTTCCTTCTCCCCTTGGCTATAAGCAACCCTTGCCTCTTGCATTCATCCATTCTCCGACTTCTGCCTACCCCAAGCGTCTGCTGTATGCCAGGCACACCAGGAAGGCAGCAGAAGGAGGGCACAGTCGCTCTCCCTACCCACCGATGAGGACACATAGGGTGGCCAGTGACCTCCCAGACATAAAGGTACACAACACAAAAGGTGATCCAGGCCAAGAGGGATGCTGGGGTATCTGGTGGAAGGTCTGGCAGGGAGCCATGTCACAGGGAATTACAGGAGAGAGCTGCTCCAAGTGGTGTCTCTGAGGGCGTATTTCTGGCTTCAGTCCCAACACTGTCTTGCTAGCTATGTGGCTTATTAAGTCCCCAAACTTCCCAGCACTCATTTCAGACTCCATAAGGAGTTAAACATGATTAGGGCTCAGCTGGGCATCTGTTGGATGTGGACCTCAAGAAACTGTAACTTCCCGCCCTCTCCTCCACGGTCCAGCCTTGACTCATGTTTTGCTAGCAGCTAGCGTCTTCACTAACTGCTCCCCTGAGCCCTCTCTACGGTGAGGCCCCTGTCTTGCATGCCCATCGAACACTGGCAGATTGAGTGAGTAGGCTCACGAGGCACAGCTCTTTGCTGCAGGTTGTTTCTCGCCCTCTGATGAATACCACCTAATGCAGAAGTTCCAGAAGAGAATACGCCTTTTTCCCTGAGGTGCCCAGCCAACATTGGCTGGTGGTGCCTTACTTCACAGTGCTGGGGCTGGTGTGTGAAAGATTCTCCTGCCTGTCACCTCAAAAGTCTTGTTTTGACAACCCAGGCACACACAGGTCAGGTGAAGGTGTCAATGTCAGGACTGGGGAGGTGATAAGTAGGAAAGATAGGATGGGGATTGGGGCCCCATCTGCAAAGCACACGAACCTGTTAGCTGTGTCTTAGAACTGCAAGCAGAGTTTACAGGAGCCCAGCTGCCCCGTGTCTTCACCAGAGGAGATGTAATTTGTTGTCCCCTCTCTGCCTGCAGGAATAGCATCACCAGTTGCCGGATGCGGACTGAGAGCGAGCCGCCGTGTGGCTCCCCGGTGGTCAGCGGCGATCCCAAGGAGGACCACAACTACAGTAGTGCCAAGTCCTCCAACGCCCGAAGCACGTCTCCCACCAGCGACTCCGTCTCCTCCTCCTCCTCAGCCGACGACCACTATGAGTTTGCCACGAAGGGGAGCCAGGAGGGCAGTGAGGGCAGCTTCCAGAGTCGCGAGAGCCACAGTGAGACAGAGGAGGATGACAGGAAACCCAACCAGAAGGAGGCCAAGGATGCCCTGGGGGACAGCGGGTACGCATCCCAGCACAAGAAGCGACAGCACTTCGGCAAGGCCAGGAAGGTCCCCAGCGACACACTGCCCCTCAAAAAGAGACGCACGGAAAAGCCGCCCGAAAGCGACGATGAGGAGATGAAAGAGGCGGCCGGGTCGCTCCTGCACTTGGCAGGGATTCGGTCCTGTTTGAACAACATCACCAATCGGACGGCCAAGGGGCAGAAAGAACAAAAGGAAACCACAAAAAATTGAAACAAGTCTCTGATTTGTTTTGAACTTAATGGCCATTTGGTTTCAGCATGTCAGGAGATTTCTAATGATTTGTGGCAATATCAGCAATTTTTTTTCTTTTTCTTTTTCTTTTTTACTTTCGTTGGTTTGGTTTTCTTTTCTTTCTTTCCTTTTTTTTTTTTTAATTTGCCCCCCCTTCCCAGTCCTTTGTTTTTGGACCCTTAAGAATTTTCTGTTTAAAGGAGATTGAAGCCATAGAAACTCATTGACACTCAGCCGTTTTACAAAAGCTTTTCTTTATCTGAAGACAAAAACCGAAAAAAAAAAAAAAAAGCCAAAATTAACCATTGCTTCCTGCAGCCTGTCAGAAACCTGCGGCCAAACCCACAGGGATGGCAGTGTTGATGCCACAGGAACACTCAAAAACCACCCGGGCGGCACACATGCAGGGCATCACTCCTCAGGCCCAACCCTTAGGTTTAAAAGTCAGTTGTGTTCAGAGGGAAGCTGGGAAGCAACTGCAGAGACCGAAGAGCCGGCGTCCCCTAGGGTAACCCGTACTCTGTCCCTGGCATCCCACTGTGCCAGAAATGGCAGTGGCATCGCCGTGTGGTAAGCAGGGCTCGGTTGCCAGTCTTGTGTGCTTCTTAACCCTGACCCTGGTCACATCTCACAAAGTGATTACCAGACTGTTCAGGTATATCGGGTGTCTGTGACTGAGCTGGAAAAACAGGGGAAATTCTTAGAGCCATTGCAAACCACTGAATTCTGCTCTATCTTAAGATGTTCCCAAAGCCATAAGCCTGAAGGTTGGCCCTGTGTACCCACACATGCACTCACACACACACAAACACACCATACACACACACACACACACACACACGCACGCACGCACGCACGCATGCACCAGTGCAAAACTCAACAGTGATGCAGAAAACAAGCTGTGCCCTCTTAACTGCCCAAGTGAAAAGCAATCATGTCGAAGAAATGACAGTAGCTGTTCAGAAAGGAAAAATGGTACAGGATTCTTTCCCATCTACACAATCTGATCCAAGTCGGGAGGGGCGTGCTACGGAAACTGCCATTAGTATTACGGTGTCTTTCTAAGAGGTTAAAGGCGCATTGATGGACACGAAAAGCAAAATCATGGCAAAAAATACGACTCCTGGTCTGCCCTCAAAAAGGGTTTGCAATTAATGTCAGGACTCATTTTTTTGCAAAAAAGAAAAAAAAAAGATCAGTGATTTTTCACATTCAGCCAGTTTAGCCAGCAGAAATTTCTGATCCACAATGCATGGATTCCTTCGAACTAAAAAAAAAAAGAAAAAGAAAAAAAAAATCACAAAAACAAACTTTTTTTTATTCAAAAATAACAAAGTTCTTGTAAGGTAAATAATGTATTTAGCATGAAGCATGAATTATTTTCATATAAATATAGAAAATAGAGAGAAGGCTATGCCTCTAATTTTTAAGCCCTTAGGCTTAGAGGTTCTTTTTTTTTCCTTTCTTTTTGTTTCTTTTTTTCCCCTTTTTTTCTTTCCTTCCTTCCTTTTTTCCCTTTTTTTTTTTTTGTTGTTATTTTGTTTTGGTTTTTTGAAGCAGGTGTTTAAGGTTTAACCTTCTTCAGGGACAAATTCTGACTGTTGGGGAACTTACTCTGCAATATAAATTATTCTCACGCTCTGGTAGGGCTTGGATGGTTGAGCTCTATACTGCCTTGTCTGCACTCAGCCCCGACCCCTCTGATTCTCTATTGAAGAGTGTGTCCTTCCCTTTGTCTGTATGTCTTTAACATGACGCAATAATTCGAGGGCAAACAGTAGTGTGTATGATAGAATCAAGAGAATTACGGGACGCTTACTTGAGAAGAATCATTACCATGATTTGGTTCCAGGAAAAAGGCAGTGAATAATTATGCAAATTCGCCAGAAGAAGGGGAAACATGCTAATGGGCCTTATTGGGTGAGGGTAAGAGATAGGGTACATGGGTAGGAGGAAGTAGGTGATAAAGGGGTCAGATGGGCCTACTCCTTCCCACTGCGACTGTATGGTTTCCCAGTGAGAAGGGGTCTGGCCGTCTCTGCCGCTTCAGCACAGTAACCACCTTGGGACTAAGACCACCTAGATTGCAAGAGCTTGAATAAACAACCAGACCATGTCACACAAGCCAGAAACTCCAGTTACCTTTGCCAAAAACAAAATAATATTTTTTTTTCCTTGAGGTCTAAAGAGAAATCCCTAAAACAATATGGCTTCCCATCCAAATGGAGGGATCTTTTTTTAAAGAACCAAAACACTACCCGGACTCAGGGTCAGATGTTTGGGAGAAAGAGGAAACTGAGGTGACCTTGAACTTTTGAAACAGGGCAGTAGTGGGCCTTTAAAGCTTTGTCCACCTGTCAGAACCAGGTATCGTAGCAACGGCAACAGCCTGGAAGGACCCACGGTCATCTGGTGCATTCCTCCAACCTAACTTGAGTGCAGCTTTAGAAAGAATGGGGGGCTCCCACTTTCAAGGGGGGCACTAGATATCTCCCCCACCTCACCCAAGCCTGGGCTCTCTCAGCTTGGGGGTTCAGGGTCTGATGAGAGCGCAAGCGAGTTCTCCAGTGCTCTGGGCCCTCTTTCTCCACAAACCTCTGACAACCCACAAGCCATCCACAGCTCTGGAACCTGAGCCCCACTTGATTTCTGTTATTACCTAACCAAGCCCAAAAAAGGCCATTATCCCCCTACCCACACCCCGCCCCCAAGATGTTCAAACTCAGACCTGAAGGTAAAGGTGAACACTCAGCACTGTTTCTGGCAGGGGACTTCTTCCGATGAAAACCCCACGTGGGCTGTCTCCCCTCCTTTCATTTTTTTCCCGAAGGGGCAGAGGCCTCCTTCAGAGATAACAAGATGCAGTGTGTGTGTGATTTACTTTTCTGATCTCGCTGAGATCTGGAAAACTATCTTATACAAGTGTGTTCTGAACCCCAGAACCACTCTTTTTGCATAAATACCTCATCGGGCAGCTTTCTAAGTGTTATTTTCCTGAGCCTCCCTTGGCACCTTCGTTGGAATTTTCTGGAAGACTTGTTGGGGAAACTTTAGTAAGGGTACTTTTTTCTATTTTCCTTCTGTTTTGGGAGGCATACACATGATGCACAACCAAAACAATGGCTCAATTGTGTTCAACTCTGTATTTTGACTGTGGAGGCGAAAACAAAGTTATCAATGTGTATGTGGCTGTTTGTAGCGAAGTCTGCCGAATGAGGCTGTCCACGTCCTTAACAAGCCAAGGGGCAGGAGGCACCCTCTCTTTCCCCTCCCCCAAGAGCAGTAGAGAATTTAAGCACAAGCCTATTTGTGAAAGAATATTTTGATTAAGTGTAATTCACTTTAGTCTTGGACTTTTCTTCCCAAACGTCAGGTGTTCTTTTAGCTTTCAAACTAGCCTGTGTATCCATTAGTCTGACAGATCGCCTGAGCATTGTTAAAGGGGCGTGGTGTTTTTTTTTTCTTTCTTTCTTTCTTTCTTGCGTTTCTCCTATGGGGAGAAGTGGTGGTTCATGTGTCATTCCGGTATATCACATACTCACATTGGGGAGGGGGGGAGGGGGCAAACGGGGAACTATAGCAATATTTACAGATGCTTTGGAAACACATCAGCACCGTGATAGAACAACTACTGGCTGTCGGCCCTCAGACACACCTAAGAGATGAGGTTCGCTTTCTTCTCTTAGGTGAAATACACATCGTCATTTTTATCCTAGTCTTGGTAGTCTCTCCTCTTTCTCCAGTACTTTGTGGAAAGGGTTTGCATCATAAGATTTTCTTTGGAATATATCACCAAGCTCCTACTTCCCTCCCTCTCTCCAGTCAGTATATTTTTCAAGAGTTCTTTCAGTAAAGCTGGCTCTATGAAACTAAAGCTGAAGCAAACCCGAATGCGGATGGTGGCGTAAGGAAACCGTGGTCAGGATGCCTGAGGCAGGTCTCCATCCCGAGGCTGAGTCTTTAAGGAGGAATGGGTTGGTGCCCTTTCCTGAGAATGGGTTTTTTCTTTTCATGTCCAGTGCTTTCTCTTCATAGCAGTTCCTACCACGGGGCATTCTAGAAGGAGTATTGTGGTTGGTGGTGCCCAGGCAGGAGATGGGGTGGCTTTGGTGCCTAGCCTGAAGTCCACAGCAGGCCCATCTGCAGCGCCCCAAGCCACCAGTCTGGGTTTTAGTGGTGCCACTCTGGGACCTCCGGCCTCTCCCTGAAGGGAAGGGGCCTAGGGCATGATGCCGGAGTTCCAGACAAATGACCTGCAGGGGAGGCTTTTCCATATATGAAATTAGATTAAATTCAATGTGATTTCTTTTTCCCCTTTCAAATCGTATTCAGGTTGGGACTCTATTTCTTTCTGGTGGATCACAGCTGCCCAGATGTTGCAATTGGTTTCTGTGTTTCTATAGAGAAGTCCTTTTCTTTCATCTTCAGGAGTTCTTCGATTTTTTTTATTTTTTTTGGCCACCAAAAGAAAACATTGGAACATATGTCCCCTCTTGATTGTGACTTACCAGTGTTGACAGTTTAGTCCTTCGTGTTGTAGGTCCCAGCCCACCAGTACTATATCAAACACTGTTAGGCACATGATGCAGCACTGTGATCTAATTTAAATAATACTTTTTTATTATTTATACTACTATATATAATATACATCAACACTTTTGCTATATAACCTAAGTGATAAACCCTTTTAGTTACCTGTCAGACTCTAGACTTTGGTTTCTATTGCAGTTAACACAGTTACAGAATTGTAATGGTGTCTTGTTTTTGCGTTTTTGTTTTCCTTTGTAACGGAATGTGTAAATCAAAGTATATACATTGTGTGGTGTTCCTGTTTCTTGGGATGTCATGAGGAGTTACACACGGCATTCAGTGTTCTGTATAGACCCGCCCACCTTTGTGAATTCATCCGTTAAACTCCTCTTCCTTTGAGAGCGCGCCAGCCGTGGTGGCTAACTCCCAGCGTCCTCTCTCCTGCTGGCTATTCTTGAATTAAGCACAGACTCGTCCACTCGGTTGCTTTATCATGAATAAGGGGTGTGACCTGGTCACTCTTCCACCCTTCAGCAAACAAGTGCTAGCTTCACTGACCAAAAATTAAGGAAGGAAAACATCATCTTTGAAACGATCCACCTTTTCATGGCCGAAACAGATGTTAGTCTATGGTGCTGCCTCGTGCTGCCGAGCTTCTGGAACGAGACCGCTGTGGAATGACCATTTCTGACTTGCTGTGGGATGCTCGCCAGCATCCTGCCTGTCTCCTTAGTATTGGAAATCGAGACTCTTTATCTGGGATCTATACAGCAGCGTTGCTCCACTGTTTCTCACTTGCAAAAGCGGAGAACGCGCCTTCTCCGCCGTTTTGCAAAGAATTGATACTCCATATTGGATTCTCTAAAGACTTCGATATGGTGATCCTGTCAAACCTAGAAGCTGTATTTTATCTTTTCATACCTGGTTTCCCCATTTTCCCTGTTTTAGAGAAAACAGCACACTTTTGGTTGTGGACACATTCACCATTTCTTGAGTATGTGTGTTGAAGCCATCCAAGGTCATAGCTGGCTCCGCCAGTCTCGCCATTGTCCTCACTGCCTGTACTGCCATGGTGGACACGGGGAGGGAAACAGTATCTGTGTGTGTCTGGGAAACAGCTACATGGGCATTTGTTTAATACTCTGTAACATTTCTGAGTTTTGTTATAATTTTGCAGAAAACAAAACAAAACCACCACGATGATAAAGCAGAAGACCACAGGTTTGTGGCCGAATCTTAGGGTCGCCTGACCTTTCCTGGCCAACAGGTCTACACGGCCAAATCAATTTACAAGAGTAATAATTTCATCAGAAGCCAATTTTTTTTTCTGTGTTTCTGTACGAAACTGCCAATATCATGAACAGAAGGGGAGAACCATGAAGGAGAAAGAGAATGCTGATGGGTGGTGGTTGCATTAGCCTAAAGCGGCGGGGTGGAGATGACGCCATCAGCCAGGCTCGAGGGACTTGCGTTGCTTGGGAGGGATTCATACAACATTTTGCGTTCTTCATGTGTAATCATATTGCCAAAGACAAACTACTTCATCATTTATTGTAAATAACACTTCCCCCAGACCTACCATAAAGTTTCTGTGATGTATTGTCTTCCAGTTGCAATAAAAATTACTGAGTTGCATCAATTGAAGATAAGTGTTATGTGTTGTGTAAGCAGTGTCTCCGTGTGCAGGCAAGGCACTGTTCCATACAAGTGTTTGGTGTGTGGGTGGAGTGCACGCGCACGCGTGTGTGTGCCTGGGTCCTCTGGAAGACACCTTATGTTTTGAGACAGGGTCTCTCACCGAATCCGGAAGCTCACCAGTCAGCTAGGCTGGCTTGCTGGCAAGTTCTAGGATCCCTGGGGTTAGACTCATATGCGTGGCCATGCCCTGCATGTGTGTGTGTGTGTGTGTGTTTAATGTGGTCGCTGGTGATCTGAGCTCAGGGCTCCAAGCTTGCCCGGCACCGCTTTCAACACCTAAGCCGTCTCACAGCCCTGAGAGATTCCAGCCTGTTTCTGGCCCCCGGTAGCAGGTGTGCAGCTTTCAGTTCTGTTCTAGGGTCTCGGCTGCAGGTCACACCCATCTTCACACATGCTTGTCGTCTGACAGGAAGCCTCGCACTGTTGTGTAAAGCCACTAGTGCAGGCAAGCACAAAGGCTCCGATGGCCAGCCCTGGAGCTCGTGATTGAGGCCGCTGGTGTTGTCTGCAAGTTGCCGAATACTGAAACAAGCTTGTACTTCTGGAGTCTGCTCACCTGTCCTGTGATGGCATCCCAACACTCGCCAGGGCTTCATGTCTCCACTGCTGAAACGCCCACTCCAGGCCCCTAATGCACTTACCCTGTGAGTCTCTTCTGTTATAATGAAAGAAAACTAGCTGTATGGGGTGGGGGTGGGATTGGACGTCCTATGGCAAGGCCAGAAGGGAGCGATTAAGAGCTAAATTTGCTCTTCATAACAACCCCTTGTCCTGGGAAATAACCAGGTCCTTCGAGGACTGCATTAGTATCTGCTGAGTGTGATGTCCCTTAGGACCTAATTATCTTCCACCAGGTCTCGCCTCTTAAAGGCTGTGCCACCATTCTGGGGGCCAGGGTTCCAGCAGCTGAGTCTCTTTGGCACACACCCAAATCAGGTGATGCTCTTTCTGGTCCCCTTCGTGGTGTTTTGGACCCGTAGTGAATTCGTTTCTGCAAGCTTGCACAGCAGGCCTTTCTCCTAAGCTCTCCCCAAAGCCCCGAGAGAGTCCAGCCCCCTTTTTTAAGCCTGGGCTTCACCAACAGGAGTAGGGCTAACCTCAGGCACCAGAACCCCTGTAAGGCACCTTTGACCCCTACGAATCTCAGGTTTTAATCTCTTGCCTCCTATTCTGGGTCCCAGTCTATCTGCCCTGGAGGACTGATAATTCCCAGTGTCCCTCTCCAAGTGGCCACCTCAGTGTCCTGCCTGTCCCAGGTGATGTTCTTGAAGTCTTTTTTTTTTTTTTTGTGGTTTGTTTTTGTTCTTGTTTTTTGTTTTTTGAGACAGTATTTCTCTGTGTAACAGCCCTGACTGTCCTGGAATATACTTTATAGAGACCAGGCTGGGCTCAAACTCACTGAGATCCACCTGCCTCTGCCTCCCAGTGCTGGGATGAAAGGCACACACCATCACGCCCAGCACTTTGGAGTCTTACTTTCAGGATCACCTTAAAAGTCACAGGTGTGTCCTCCAGTGTTTGAGGAGAGACATTTTTGGGACAGAGCAGCAGTCATCCACTGTAAACCAAGGTTGAAGAATTCGTCAGTTTTCCATGTTGGGTAATGCCTGAGGCCAACTACAAGGGGGTAGCCTCAGAAAATAGCACATATAATTGTGTGTGTACATGTTCAGTTCATGTATATGCACTTACAGGTATGTGTGGGTGTACAAGTATGGCTGTCTGTGAGTCAGGTCCACAGTGGGTCTCCATCTTCTTTTTTGAAATTACCATTAATTTTATTTATGTGTGTGGGTGTTTTGTCTGTGTCTATATTTGTGCACTGTGAGCAAGCCTGGTGCTTGTGGAGGCCAGAAGAGGAAGGCCATTGGGATCCCCTGGAAGTAGAGTTGTGAGCCTCCATGTGGGTGCTGAGAATTAAACAGAGGTCCTCTGAAAGAGCATCCAATGTTCTTAACTGATGAATCATCTCTCCAGCCCCCATCTTATTGTTGTTGTTTGAACCTGTAGCTTGCCAATGTGGCTAGACAGACTGGCCAGGGAACCCAGACGTCTTGTATCCCATCACTTTTTCGTTGCACCTGGATTTTTTTTCTTTTTATTTATTTATTTTTTCTAGACAGGTTTCTCTGTGTAGCCCTGGCTGTCCTGGACTCACTTTGTAGACCAGGCTAGCCTCGATCCCACACAGATCTGCCTTCCTCTGCCTCCCTGAGTTCTGGGATTCCAGGCATGAGCCACCATACCAGCTTTCTTTCTTTTATTTATTTTTCTTTCTTTCTTTTCTTTCTTTCTTCCTTTTTTTTCTTTCTTTTATGTGAGAGTAGATATTGCTTGCTTGGCAAGTACATTACAGACAGAACTGTCTCCCCAGCCACCATTCAACCGTTTTTGAAATTTTCAGAACCACTGGAAGTGAAGACAGCCATGTGGACAGCCAGAATTCTCAAAAGTATAGTGAGTCCAGGCTTCTTCCTTTTTTATTATTGTTGAAAACAGATTCTTGTCTCTTGTCCTACATCCCAGCTACAGTTTCATCTTCCTCCACTTCTCCCAGCCCCCAACCCCTCCCTCTTCTCTCTCCTAGATCCACCACTGTCGAGACAGGACGAGGCAACCCAATAGGAGAAAAAGTCCCAAGAGCAGGCAAAAGAGTCCGAGATACACCTGCTCCGGCTGTTAGGAGTCCCACAAAACCACCAAGCCAACATCGATAACATGCACACGAAGGACCTGGTGCAGACCCATGCAGCTCCATGCTTGCCACTCCAGTCTCTCTGAGCTCCACTTAGTTGGTTCAGTGGGCCGTGTTCTCCTGATGGACATCCCCTCTGATTCCTACAGTCTTTCCTCTCTCTTTTCTGCGGGATCCCCCAGGCTTCTTCCTAATGAGGCAATTCCCTCCTGTAAAATTCTCAGCAATGAAACATCCCCACATACATGTCCCTCTAGAAAGCTGGAGGACACTGGCCTCTCAGGGGTTTAGCATGCCAGAATCTCATTCGTTAGAGTAATCGGCCAAAGTGTTCCACTGATTAAGAACAGCCATTAAGCCCCACCCACAGAGTTGAGAAAGGGCTAGTCTGTCAGTGCTGTCCACGTCAGGCCAGTAAGGTTGGGTGCCTTGAACTTGCCCAGAGCCTGCCTGTGCCCCCGACAGGATTACAATCATATCTCATCATGCCCAGCAACTGTGTATTTTGACCTCCCTGCTCCCATTAGTAATACAAGGTCAGGGAGGGGTTCATGGACTGAATGGCTCTTTAATTTTGGAGAAAGGACAGATGTTTTTTGGGTTTTTGTTTGTTTGTTTTTTGCTTTTTATTCAAGCAGAAAGTGGATGCATCAAGGACGTTGAGCCTTTGCCCCTTACACGTGAATCAGCCTCCCCAGAGCGGCATGTTTGAAATGGTGCTCAAAGCAGTCAGACCTTAATTTGAAATCATTCCTGGGCATTTGTGGATAAAGCGCTCTAATGACTTGAGAACTGTTTTATGCTGCTCTGTAATAAAGTGCTTCGGGAGCAGACAGCTAAATCTCCCTCAAATACAACTCATTCGAGGGGGAATGAGGATTCTGCTTTTCTCCCCATCTGCTACACATTTCAAACTGATGTCTAAAAAAAATGTGTAATGCAGGAAGTACCATATGATGGAGAAAATCTGAAAATATGATAGTGACTGCTTCTGTAGATCCCATGGGACAAAGCTTCTTCACTAAATGGGTCTATTCTGTTCACAGCAGAAATTTTAGGAAGATGTCTACATTTTTTCATCCCTCATAAATATTTTAAACAGAACAGGGACATTAGAGGTCACTGAATCCAAACTCCCCAACTCATAGCCCAGGTATCTGAGGCCCAGGAAGTGTAAGGGATTTGCCCCAAACAATCCCACTGGATAATAGCAGAATTTGACTTACAAGAATGGAAATGTTCCATCCTTTAAACTGTATTCACTTATTTAATGTGTAATTATAATCACTGCATGGGCAGAATGTGCCCACCACACATGATGCCATGTGCATTTCACACTTAACTATGGTGAAAAAACAAGGACAATCTTTTGGAATGATGAGAAAACACACCACCTTGCTTCTCAGTGTCTGATGCGTCCCCACATAAGCTCCATTACAAGGGGCATCTTCAGGCAGGATGTTCAACTTTATTAAATTTCATCTTGTAACTGGTTCATTGTTTGAAGCCAGTTCAGATCAACATTGGAGTAACAGATGTGCAGTCTTGATTTTTTTTGTCAACCCGAACATTTGTTGCATTAAACCATTTTCTATTCCCAGTAATGGTGTCTCAGTGCTGTTTGTGGTTGCACTCACTTGTGATCCCAGCACTGGGAGGGTTGGCGAATCAGGAGTTCAAAGCCAACCTGGGCCTAGTGAAGGAAAGAAGGAGAGAGGAGGGGGGCCAATTCCACAGACTGGGGGAGACTTATTTTAGCTGAAAACTCTGGTTTGAGGCCAGAGGGCTTTCTCCTGGCAGAATCTGAAGCAGCAGGGAGCATGCAGAGACCTGACTATCCCGGGTTCCAGACCCATCTCAAGTTAATCCAGTAGTCTGTCAGTCTTGGGAGTACTAATGTGATCATGAGGGCTGAACCATAATCATCCCTGAAGGTCCCACTCGGTCCCACCCTTTACCAGCTCATAACCCAACTTTTGTTGTTGTTGTGTTTCTATTGCGTGATAAAATACACAGAAAGCAACCGAGGAGAGAACTGGGTTTATTTTACCTTAATATTCCAGGTTACAGTCCATCATTGCAGGGAACTCAGATATGAGCTTGAGGCAGCCGGTTCCATCACATCCACAATCAGGAGCATAGGGGAGTGAATACACACATTCTAACATTCTCTCTTGCTTGACTTCAGTCAGCTTGATCTCATCCCTCTTACACAGCTCAGGATCCCCTGCCTAGGGAATGAGTCTACCC